TTTCAACAGAGACATGGAAGAGAAGAAAATGACAGGATGAAGATAGCAAGACCAGGTATTAGATCGTATGTATATATATGAGAAGAGAAGGTTCGCTTCACTTCAATCGCGCAGGCCAAACGCCTTCCGGAGTCGGGGAAATCGTTTTTTGCGTCCTGAAGATGAGATCGGTACGTCCGCCACGTTGGTCGACCGTGCCTCACTCTTGTCCGCAGTCACGCCAGTCGAAGGATTCACGTTCTCTTTCACAGATCCCTGAGAAGGTGAAACAACCGTACTGCCGTTCCGAGGAGTTTCATCAACGGTGGCTAGTCGCTCTGCAGGGCCATTCGCAGGAAGAGGTGAACCTGTCCGACTCTCCTTCCGATCGGAGCGCAATGGCCAGTTGTCGCTGCGGGAGGACCGCTGCGAAGGCCTGCGAAGCAGCTTGGACGGGGGTGGGGCGGGATTAGTCGCCGTGATGGTCGTCACAATATTCGACTCGGCCCCGGGAAAGGGAGATTCCCCTCGTGCTTGCTCTTGATCCACTCGGGGCCGCTCTGCAGGCCCTCCGTTGCGTACGGGACTGTCTATCCCGGGCTTGACTAGGCCTCTATCCAGAGGGGACTTCGACTTTCGAATGCTGAAACGCTTGAGAAGTCCAGGCTTCCGACCACGATTAGGTTGGCGCAGGAATTCGTCGAGCTCCTCCTCCGTCATGCCGCGATTTTTAGCTACAGCGGCTAGTGCAGGGTCCCGAGATGTGCTCGGCTTCGCTGGAGACTGCGGATTGGCTAGTGGGGGTGCACGATGGTCCTCATCTGAGCTGTCTTCCAGTTCTGTCGAATCGCCGTCGTGCGTGCCCTGCCGACGAGGAATGCCCCGGACGGGTCGCATGGCATTCGGGCTCCGCTGTTCATCATCACTCGAATCTTCGTACCGATGCCGTGACCTCCAGGCGTCGTACCCCTCATCGTCCGAGTCCGAGTCAGGGAACCGGGAGGCGAAACCACCGCCCGGCACCTTTGTGAGCTTGGACTTTTGAGCCTTGTTGTTGGAGAAGAACGAGGGCTTCTCACGTTTGGGAGCATTTGCCCGTAAAGTTGTGCGCATGGTGCCAAATCCAGATTCGGATGACACCGGGCGGGTATCCACTGGCGGGGACGTTGCTCTGTTAGAGGCCAAGCGGCCCGGAGTACTTCGCATGGTCCGTCTCATGGTGTAGTTAGAGTCTGCGCGCGCCGGTCTACTAGCCCGCTTGAAGCTGCTGGACGAATCACTACCGCTGGATAACGGTCTTGGTGACGCCGGCGAGGTTTTGCCGTTAATGCGCGGCGTACGGCTCAGGTCTTGGGAGTCGGCAAGAGCTGGGCTCCATGAAACCGGTCGTCTCTGGGAACTGTCTGGAGTAGGCCGCTGCCTCACACTAGGTGGCTCAGGCTGGGATTCCAACTGCCCATTTACAGCTGACCCATTCACAGCGCGCGGTGCCTTGTTACTAGGCATTGCGTCGCTACTTCCTACCAGCATGGAATGCCTGGCTGGACGAACAGCGACCGAGGAGGAACGTGAAATGTCGGCTTGAGAAGAGCTTCGTCTGTTCTTCGGCTCGATCGGAAACGGGGGATAAGGTGACGAAAACGGAAGAGGCTCGTGGGAAGATCCGGGGGATTCTGGGATCGGCTCCATAACCTTATCCGGGAACGTAGTCACCGTGCGTGCAATCTGACATGTTTGAGGTATATCTGGCCAGTCGGTAGACGGTGAGTGAGACCGCCCTGTGCCACCAGTCTCTGCAGGTATCTTGGTTGCGCTCTTGGGAGCCGAAGTAGCAGCTGTTTCATCGTCCACGATGGCGTTGATCGACCCGAAGCCGTTGCCTTCGGTTCCTTCCTCAGCATCACTATAGATACTGTCGCCCGACTCGTCACCGCTTTCGTCATCGGCAGAGCCTATGGTGGCATTGTTGGTAGCGTCCGTGGAATCCTCCTTCGCCTTCATTTTACCATGGGCTTTGGACTCGAACTCCAACGACGAGCGAGGGAAACCCCCAGGAACCTCATACCACTCGAGACTCCGACGCTCCTTCTCAAGCATGGGAGACGCCGGCTGGACCATAATATTGGGTACTGACAAAGTCGTCTCCGCGGTACGCTCCTGCCCAGCATGAGAAGAAACATCAACAGTCCCTGTAGGAACTTCTGGCTGATTCGTTTGACTAGCAAAATGACTCTCCTGTGGCGATTTCTCTGCCTCAGATTCGCTTTCGGCTGCATTCGCAAGCATGAGCGGCGCCACGCGGGGCTCTGCTTCCTTCGATTGACTTTCGGTCAGAAGGCCCCCAATAGCGTGGTCATTGGAGAAAGACCACTTCAGTGCTTCCGCAGGCGAGTCCGACGACGTTGTTGACTCGTTGTCGCTCAACTCAGGCACGGATTTCTCTTGCGTCTCACCATCCCGACCGGCCCGTATACTGCCGAAAGACGGGAGAGCTCGTCGCGGCTTCAGCACTTCGTCAAACTCAGTATTCAGCGGCGTTGGTTTCTTCTTACCGCCAAACCAATGAGTCTTTTGTTTGGGCTTCTCGTGCAGCGGTTCAGGAGGCGTTTCCTCCGGCGATGTTGGTGGACTTGCAGCAACCCCCACCACCTCCGCCTCGTCATCGAAACTGACCTTAATGGGCTTCCTCCGGATTCCTGGTTTGGACCCTTCGTCGGAGGCTGCCGAGGTCCCATCGGAGAGCTCGCTCAGCGGTGGTCCCGGCCGGAGAACGGATTCAGTCCGCCCCTCCGGAGAAAGTGAGATCTTGCGCGGAGTCTTCATGGCTGACTTGGCAGGTGACAGGGACCGAGGGGGAGGTTGGTGCAGCTGCTCGCCGGCAAAGGCTGCCACCAGCAAGTGACGGGAAAAGTGCGCAGATCTGCCCGGACTACCAGACTGGCGAATGTCTGACGGCTGGCTATCCTGGCCAGTCTCAGTGGGTTGTGTGGGCAGCTTGGGACTTATAGGCGGGCTAAGTAATTGATCCTTGCTTCTATCGGGTGTGGGTGGGAATGCGACCGTCGGTTGCGTATCGGGAGTCACACTGCCGCCTCGGGGTGGAACAGGCCGCTGTTTAGGAACAGTTGACTCGGCACGTTCCTCGCCCTGGGCATCCTCAGGTACTGTGGAAGGTCGTTTTACTATATGCGGGCGGACTGGCTGCTTGTGTTCTGGGGGAGCAGCAGGCTGACTAGGGGCCTGGTCGGGGACTGTCTGCTCGCGAGGGGCAGCGATGCGAGGGGCCGCAGAAACCAGAGATTGGGTGTGAGTGACATCTTGTACCCGGGGCACCACCGCAGCCTGCGCAGCGGCTACTGCAGTGCCGGAGGACTGTGCACCACGACCAGGGCTGCCCGGGGACATGCCCATGCTCTTCGTCGCTCGGACCGATCGAGGACTGGCATTCTTGACTTTGGGAGATTCGGGCGAGGAGAGCTGACCTGCAAGTGAGATGCTCGCGGTAGCATCGCGCCTATCCAATGCATTGATGGACCCGTCCGGGGAGTTTGGCCTAGAGTTCATCGGATAGGAGAAATTGACGGAATTCCGACTTGTTGGTCGTCGAAGCTCGGGAGACGGGGTCGACCCTGGCGCGCGCATAGCGGGCTGGGTAGCCAAACCGCGATCAACGCTCATGCCTCGTCCTGCCGGCGTCTTCCCGCGAGGGCTGGGTCGCTGCGACGGCCCGACACTGGCCGAACGATGGGCATTACGATTTCGTGCGGAGTATACTTGAGGGATGGAAGGAAGTGGCGGCGCAACCTCGACTGGACCGGAACTGGAGGCCGGGCGTCGCGGTGACTGGTCGCGGAATGTACGGGTGGACATGGAAGCCGAACTATTGGCGCGACGAAGGCCATTCCGACTCGTTGGACGCAGACTGGGTACGCCGCTTGCCTGGGACGAGACCGAGGCCCTCCGCTGCATCATGCGCTTTGTTTGGACATTTTCGACAGAGGTCGGGGTCGGCGTGAGACTGCGGAGGGCGGCGGCAGCGGCGGCGGAGGACAGGCTGCTGGAGGAGGGTTGAGATTTGAGGAAGGCATGGCTTGCGGCGGATTGGGCGGATTGCGAGGAGGAGGCAGAGAGAGGATGCTGGGCGTGTCAATGGGGATGATGAAGGTCAAGAAGACCGGCGGAATAGGAGACTCACCTGATGCTGAGAGGAGCTCCTCTTTCTGCGGAACATGGCTCAGGCGGTGCCCGAGGCCGGAGGGAGAGGAAGTTGCAATTAATTGTAGATTATTGTAAATCGTATACGTCGTAGATGCGAGATGAATGGAAAGAGAATAGCAACGAACAGGCGTTGGTATGTGAAGATCGAAAAGTGTTTATTGATATGGGCACGAAGGAAAAGGCAGCAAAGCAACGGGGAAGCGAACGAGAGGCGGAGAAAGGGAAAGGAAAGGAGGGCGGCGAGATTAGCGAGGGGAGACGAGCAAGGAGGGGAGGGAGAATGCAGGAGAGGGAATTAAGGATGCAGCTCGGATGCAGGCCGGAGATGAAGAAGAAGTAAGAAGTAGAGAAAGAAGAACAAGAATGAGTGACGCAGCAGTTGGAGGGACAAACAGGAGAAAAAGTAAAGTTTGGCCAAAGAAGCAGAAAGTCGGAAAACAAAGTTGGGCTCTTGCGTCATGGAGCCAAGCCGGATGGATCCCTTTTCTTCTTTTGCTTCCCACTGATTTTCATCTTGATGAACATGAACCATTTGAGCAACTATACTAATCATGAAGAAGATATGTAGACTATCAAGTAATTTAGCCTCGGGTCTTTACCCATATTACCAACCATTAATTGACATCTGATCCCCCTCTTTGTCAGAATACTTAACCTTCCCTTTCCCCTCTCCCCTTGAACCTTATACTCCCCATCTCGCCCTACTATATTACACATCAATCTAATAACATCACCACCATAACTATAATCATCATCATCACCATAATCACCACCCCAATACAACAATGTCCTCCTCATCACTATCCCCCCTCCCCCTCCCCCCCTCCATAACCTCCCGCCTCATCCCAACCACTCCCACCCTAACCACCCACATCCTCGAATCCAACTCCCCCACAACAACAACAACCACTCCACGCCCCCGCAAACTCATCATCCTCCTCCACGGCTTCCCCGAACTCGCCTACTCCTGGCGCCACATCCTCCCCCAACTCTCCAACCAAGCCGGTCCGGACTACCACATCGTAGCCCCAGACGGACGCGGCTTCGGGCGCACCACGGGCTGGGAAAAAGACGCCGCCAACTACCCCGACTCGAACCTCACCACCTTCACAGGCCTATCCTTAGTCCGGGACGTGGTGAGTCTAGTCCACGCACTGGGCTACACCACCGTGGAATGCGTAGTAGGTCATGATGCAGGCGCCGTGACGGCGGCGTTTTGCGCCGTCGCTAGACCCGATATGTTTCGGAGTGTCGTGCTGCTAAGTCATCCGTTTCCGGGGGTTCCGGCTGCTATTTCCCAGGAGAAGAATGAGAGTAAGGAAACTAAAGAAGGAGGAGGAGGAGGAGGAGGAGGAGGAGGAGGAG